ATATCAAGAGGTTGACCTGGAAAATTAACTTTTATACGAGCTGTGAGACAATAAGGACTAAAAAGATATAATTGCGGGGAATTTCGAGAAACATTCTGTACCTGTCTTGTCGTCAACGATGGTATCACCGAGTACATGCATCTGATCCACCAATTTTCGAACAAGGAACATTTTGAATTCAGGTTTCTTACGAGGCTCCGGCATTACACACTGTCTGCGCGGAGTTTGAGAAGAGGTAGATGATGGAGCTGGTGAACTCTGAAAATGCCATTTATAACTTGGAAACAACGCGGAACCTCCTCATAACGCTGAAAATAGTCACCGAGGCTGACGCTCGATGAAGTGTAGGAGGAGCACCAACAACCTGAACATCGACATAAACGACATATTAACGCTGGGCTTAACAACAGAGGAAGCCTGGAAGATACCTTCTTCTCCTCCTGAAGGAGCGCTTCCTTTCCTTCGCTTCCATCACGAGTGGAGGATGTGTCGTTCTCCTCGTTTGATGCTGACATCTGCGGTGGTTGGAAAATGTCCACTGAGAACCTACAAAAAACACTACAGATAGCGGTAGATTGCCTCCATACACTGGAGAGGCAATTCAAGAATATAGAGTAGCAGACTGCTTCTGTAGGAGCGGATAGGCGGGAGCACGAAGAATGACTAGATTTTAAACACTAAGGGACTTCGCAGCTCGATATTCGACCACAAAGTTAATGTTCGGGCGGCGTGATCCGAGATCATATTACCTAACTCAAGTGATCCATTTTTGAAATTTTACAACCTTTTTGTACTTCTTCGTAGTACAGGTAGAAGAACCTCTCTCACTTTTGGTTCGAGTGGCGGAAAATGCGCCTAGGAAGAGGTATGACTAAACATAGAGCCACTGCGAAATCGCGCTTACCCCACATGGTCAAAAAAGCAAAAATCCTCTGCCTTCAATGCCTCAAACATGAAGCAAGCATCCGAAAAGATGGACGAGTATAGTTGTTCAAATAGGAAATGGAGAAACTAAGCTAGCTGCTGTCAGGGCAATACGCAAATAGCAACCGACCTGCATCTCGCCTCCAGTACACGAATAAGGTGATGATAAGTCAGCTGACTCTTTGGTAAAGACACCATGAACGGTTGGCCAACATAGTCGGCAGTCGTTCTTCTACGGCACTCATCTCGATGTCCACCCGTGTTCCAATTCGACAGCTGACATTCTCTGAGAAACTATCTCGTTGAGAAAAGCAAAACACTGGAGAAATCGTGATTTTCATGCATAATTCAGTAGTTGTTCGGCTACTCAAAATTGAGTGGAGCTTCTAGCTATTCTCCAACTTCGAGGCATCAATGCACCAAAAACAATGAATTCAAAAAAGAGCATAAC